ATTCTTTTCTTTTTCACTTAACATTTGAATGTAAGTTTTTTCCTCGTTGCTTCAGATTCTGGAAACAGTTTAATATCTATATAATATTCCATTAGCTGGATTTCAGAGTGTATCTCGCCGTTGCTCACATGTTGGATGTTTAGGTTGTTTTGGGGGTGTCTGAATAGCCACAAAGATGAACAAAGGGTGAGAGAGCTCACATACCACATCCTTTGTGCAGCTGGCCTTGTTCACCTCTAGCCTGGGGTTCTCTCTGCTTGAAACACTGAGCTCGCTTCTCTCACGTGGCACACTGTAGTAAGGAACAGTGCCGCACCTTCCTTAACTCGCTTACACACTCCTCGTGGGCAGAGTCTGTGTCAGGTCTGTCTCTGCAGCCCAGACAGTATAATGCTTTGTACAGAGCAAATTCTCCATAAGTACTTGTTGAATGAATGAAGGAATATTGAATGACCAAAAAAATCTTATCTTGCAAAAGATTTCTACATTAAGAGGCAGTTACACCTAAAAACTGGTTTCCACACGGGAAGAAATATTCTGCAAATCATGGTTATTAAATATCTTATTTCTGCTGAGGGCAGAATGAGAAGAAATAGGTGTAAGCTGAAGCCTTGAAGATTTAAGTTACCTTTACGGAAGCATAGAATGTCTTTTTAAAAACGGAACCTCGACTGTTTTTGATAGTGTAGGTAGGATTCTGGCCTGTGGATGGAAAACATGAACATTGCCAGCATTTTTTGAACCCCAGAAGTTTACATTCTGTCCTTAACTTGCTTTTTTATCATGTGCTAATGTAATGTTTTTGTATCCAAAGGCAGGAGATGCTGCATGTTTCTACGATATCAAGTTGGGTAGGAGGCGGGTAGAGCACCACGATCACGCTGTTGTGAGCGGAAGATTGGCTGGAGAAAATATGACTGGAGCTGCTAAACCGTACTGGCATCAATCAATGTTCTGGTAATAGATTTGTGCCTTGAGGACGCAACTGGTTAGAACACAAAATTAATGGAACCAGAGTTATGTCATGTGGTTTCCTTGTGGGTCAGTTAGCTTCATACACAGTGGGGAAAATTCCATCTCGTATCCATGCATTCTACTCCCAAGCCACCTTCTGGTGAAAGGGTTCCATTTGGCACAAGTTAGACGAAATGAATGAATGGAGATGGCATCAGCACTTCTGCTAAAATAGTGCAGAGCTCCAGCTACGGTAGGTAGTACACAACTATGCTCTTAGACGCGGGGGGCAGTATATTTTACTTGCTCTTTGGTGCTAACTCTAAGGAGCCCAACCTACTGAGAAAAGAGGCAGATCACTCATATGTAACCCTTAAGGCCAGCAATGCAGAGTCAAACATATATAGGCAGCTCTCTGGAGAGCAAAAAGTTAGCAATGGAAATTCCTGAGTACTGGAGCTGGGCCCATTTGGCCTGCTGTCATCTTGTTGATTTGAAAGATGGGGTACATAAAAAACTTCAAGATTCCAGAAGCCTGTAAGCAGCTTCTGTTGGGGAAATTCTCAGCTGATGGGAGTACACTTTAGGACGATCACACACTGTTTCATGAGTGGGCAGCAAAAAACATAATAGACGGGTTTCAGGGTCAACACATGTAAGATAATGCAGTTAGTAAAAAAAGTAGCTCATAGTTCTACAATTATCAGTCAGGTCCCAGAAACAGAATCCAAGAAGTCATTGTAGACTGTTCTCCGAAGACACCAGTCCAATGAGCTTCTGTGGCCAAGAAGATAACAAAATATAGAGCACCAGAAACAAAACAGCTCGAGTAGCTTAGATGATTACAAAACCATGGTGTGCTTTTGCTACAAGTATTCTGTGAAGTTCCTAGCATATTAGGAACAGCATGATGATAACAGGAAAAGTTTCCAAGAAGAACAATTTAAATAAAATGATCAAGTGGATGATGGTGCCTCTTTATAGAAAGCATTTCAGCCTTGAGAAATGAAGGCTAAGAGGAAATATTGTCAGTTAATAAAAACCACAAAATATCTCAGATTCTGAATTCCATAAACATGGAGCACTCTTTCAAGTTTTTTTCATCTTTAAATTTAAATTTATTAAGACATTCAGCTGTGTCTGTCAGGCTACATCCAAATTTGCTACTAAAAATAAAATAAAGTCACATCTCACATTAGGAATACAGAGTCTGGAAAAAACTTTTTGAGCCAAGCCTATTATATAAATAAATGACTAGTTTCTTTTCATATCAAAATTCCCATAAAAAGTACATTTCCCCCTCCCCAGTTCTACCTGTAGCCATGATGAATGTAAAAATTTAAATATGACACATCCTTGTCAAAGAAAAGGTACAAAGTCTATTAACAGTTTTAAAAAAATGACATTTGCAGAGTGTAATCATAGTTATGTACTCATTCCCAAAGTGCAAATATTGCCATAATTTAACACTGTTTTGATTCAGTTGCAAGAATTAAATATTATACAGGATTGAACAGTACACTTAGGGCCTTTATCAGTGCCCTAAAGCCCTTCCCACTTTGATCTCCTACACTAACGTGGACTCCAGAGTGTTCACCAGAGTTTTAGTTTACTTCACACAGCCAACACAGTACAATGTATTAACAAAAGCTTCATATACAGCAATATATTGAAGACTCCATCATAAAGTTCAAGGGTCTCAGATTACATGAATGCACCCACAAAGCCCAAGTGCCCACCCACCCCCCTCCCCCAAAGCACTTACAAAGTATGAGCATGCTTCAATCTTTTAATACAATCCGTGCTTTTACATCTTTGATTTCATTTCAGTGCTGTGCAAATAATCACCTGACTGAGTTCCAGTTAACTGAGGGAGAAGGAGGTGGAGAAAAGGCTGGTCACTACTCATACTTTGTAACAAGAATAATCCTGTGCCACAGAAACTGAAGTGTCGGTCCCACCTCTGCCTGCTTCCTCCCATGCCGGCCTCATGCTCCTTATCCTGAAATCTGATTTTATTTATCCCTTATAAATCAGGGGCAGTTTCTGAAAGCTGCTGAGGTTGAATAAAGGTTTTAAAAGGCAGTTTTAGAACGAGATAAAGGAAGGTAGTGAATAAGTCGACGTGGGGAGCCCATCACTCCCCACATGTGGTCGGGGGTAAACACATGATTCAGTTTTGGACAGTGTAGATCACTGTATGGACACATGATATGTATAGTGGCTTGTTAAGTTAAAAGCTGTTTGGGATAATCATGCTTTCTCACGATTGTCCCCACATGCCTTAGCAGGCGACAAATCAGTTTGGCGTTTCTCTGGCTGTCACACATACCAGGTTCTGTGGTTGGCATGAAAGTGCAGTGTCCTGGAGAAAATGCACTGCTGTGTCATTCTTCACAACACCTCTGACAGAACACCCGCTTCTCTTTCCTTCCGTAGGAGTGATTTGGGCCCTGATGTTGGCTATGAAGCTATTGGTCTCGTTGACAGTAGTTTGCCCACAGTTGGTGTTTTTGCAAAAGCTACTGCACAAGACAACCCGAAATCTGCCACAGAGCAGTCAGGTAAGGAAGCCCAAGCACTTCTCTTGGAAGAGTGTTGAGAAGCCGTGGTCCAGATCCTCCTGAACAAGGGGCTCCTGTATTGGCTGGAGGGAACTGTCAGTGAAAGCCTCTCTTCATGTTGTGCTTTAAAATAAACCAAACCCAAAGTCCTCGTTCTTTAGTGGTCTGAGAGCTGGTGAAATCAGGGATCCTGGTCAAAGCATAGACTTGAGATACTGTGGGTGTCCATCCTAGGCTCTGGGCGGCGGCCAGCTCAGTAACTCTGTAGTCAGGTTTGTTTTGAGGGACTAGGAGGATCTGCATGATGAAGAAAACCTGAACGTTTTCAATGGGTTTTTTTCTTCCTGCTAATCCCAAGAATTAGGCCTAAGAATGTTAGTTCAGGACCTGCTACCCTCCTCGGGCCCTGGGCACTGAAGAACTGGGCTGAGTAGCTCTTGAGCTGCCTCCAATTCCATGTGTCAGATCTTAATGCTAAGTTTTCTTTAAACGGGAGGCACCTCTCTCAGAATGAACTTCTCTCCCACATACATCTCTTTCATTAACTCCTAGGCCTCCTCTCTCTCCCTTCGTGACCTTGGCTGAAGTTATTTAACCTCTGTGTCCTCTTGTTAGAGGTGTTCCAAGGACAAGTTGCTCTTTAAGAGGGAGAAAGCAGACATGATGTGGATATGAGGTCCTTTTCCTGTATAAGCTAAGTCGATTCCATAAATGCACGCCTTGATTCTGACCTCTCCTGGGAGTGGATTCAGGAGAGGGACCCAGGGACTTAGAAATTCCAGGGCACAAGTCCATCCACTGAGCAGTATTACATGAAGTCCAGTTGTTCTCAGAGGACAACGTGCCCTCTCTCCATGCTGCCACGACCACCTCGCCCAGGAGGAAACACTTGCACTATGGTTTTTCCACATGGAAGTGCCTTCTCCTGATTCAGCCAGTGTCTCTCTCGGAGTGCCGTCCAAAAGAACATTCTGCTGTGATGGCAGTGTTCTGCCTCTGCTCTGTCCGATACATTAGCCACTAGTCACATGGCTCTTTAGCACTTGAAATGTGGCTAGTGCAAATGAGGAACTGAATTTTACATTTAATTTAATTAAAATAAACTTTAATTTTGAATTAATTTTAATTAGGATAGCTGTATGTGGCTAGTGGCTATTGTACTGACCATGTAGCTCTAAAATGTTTCTCAGAGGACAAGAGCAAGTCTTCTGTAGTTTGAAAAAAGATACCAGGAAATATTCATAGTGTAAATTTAAAATGCAATAGGAAGTTTTGGGTCAGACTGACCCGGTGCCCAGGAGCTGGCAAGGAAGAACTTTTATTGGCTTTGTTGATGGAGAAGGCCAGTGTTTACTGAGGTGGCATAGAAAAACAAGTCATCCAGAAGCAGCTTGAAGCAGGTGTCGAAAGATACTTGCCTTCTAGAATTTCCAAGCTCATCATAACTGACTTTGTTTTGTTTTGACTTTGCTTGTTTCTTTTGGGGGTTGGCCACAGGGACTGGTATCCGATCAGAGAGTGAGACAGAGTCCGAGGCCTCAGAAATCACTCTTCCTCCCAGCAACCCTGCAGTTCCCCAGGCCCCCACTCAAGGGGAGGACTACGGCAAAGGTGTCATCTTCTACCTCAGGGACAAAGTGGTGGTGGGGATCGTGCTGTGGAACATCTTCAACCGAATGCCGATAGCAAGGAAGGTAGGTGCCTGGCAGAGCTCTAAGAAGGAGATGGGAAGTGTGGGCCGGAAACCCTCCTGTGACTTCATCGGGTGCCCTGCCATGCATTGTCCACCCAGGTCAGACTGTGCCCGAGCAGAACAAAGGTCTAGCCTTGGCTCAGGACTGTTTCTTTTCTACTCCGGACTTGGCTGGGTGGCCTGGCCGTTGGCACATGCTCACTTGGGCTGGGTAGAAAGCCGTTCCCACACGTCCCTCCCAGTGTGAAGTGGGGACTGGCCCAGGCTGCCCTGTCATAAAGTGTGGCCCAAATGCACACGGAGTGAGTTATACTGATTGTTACCATCTCCCTTAGATCATTAAGGATGGTGAGCAACATGAAGATCTCAACGAAGTAGCCAAACTCTTCAACATTCATGAAGACTGAGGCCCCCGTGGAATAGGCAGGCACTTCACTGTCCCTGACAGCAACTTGGATGGGTAAAGGAGCATTTTTTATTCAGCAGACATCCTCTGGATGTATGAGTGTGAATGATCAAGTCCTTTGTGAATATTTCAACCATGTAGGCAAATTCTTAACGTTCACATCACTAAATAAAACGTGCTTCTTCTAAATTAATTTCTGTTCTCTTTGAAAGGGAGCAAGTGGGTGAAGGGAGGAAAGCTCTGCATATTAGAGAGCAAGCCAGTCGGAGCTCCTACCAAGTGCATGATCTTCCTCAGCCTTGCTTTCCCTGCTTCACTCGAAACTTTTTTTTGGTTCCCTGAACTTCTCCCTCGCCCCTCCAGACCTTTCTGTATTGGCCTCCTGTGGCCCTTGCCCATAGCACTTGATGCCTCTCCCCTCCTCTGGGGAAGGTCTATGAAGACTTTCCCGACCTTTCCAAGCCTGTTCCTTGTTTCTGTGTCTCCCTGCTGCTCTGCAGCTTCCTGGAAGCCAGAACTCTGGCTTTACTGTCTTGCTTATGATTCGCTCTCCAGAGCTTAGCACAGGGTCTGGCTCATAGTAGGTACTTAGTAATTTGTTGAATGAGTGAACACATAAACCTGTGGACTAGACTCTGCTCTACCTGGAACAACTCCTGTATGTACCCTCTGGCCCCAAACTGGTTGGTCGTGGGAGGGGAGGGCAGAAAAGACATTTATTGCAAACAGAAACAAAGGATCAAAGACCTGGTGCTTCATGGCTAAACCTGGAGCCTGACTCTTTGAGAGATCATGGTCTGTCTCTCAACTCCTTTGCCCACTGTCCCCAGATTAGAAATCTGTCCTCTCCTAACCCCTTTCATCTCAAATAGGCTTATAGGCATGCCTCACTTTATAGATGATTTCCTGGGAATAGAAGGCAGTTTCATAAATCAACTCACTTTTTGAATTTCTGATTACTTAACTTTTAAAAATCAAATCTTACTTCAATTAAGAGGAAATTTTTCCTACTTTCAAGTGTCCATTATGAATCTTTTTGTAAAGAGAAAATTATTACCAGGCTGGATTTTGTTTTCAATCTTGAGTTTGTTTAAAGGGAGTTGCAGCTACAATGAAATCTCTTCTGAACACTAGAACAGGACAGATGTCCACTTTAAGAACTAGCTGCACCAGAACAGGTTCTTACTAAATGTATACAGGTTTAGTGAAATAGGATCTGATGCCTGGCATATCTCAATCTGTAGGTAGAAAGCTCATCTAGTAGCATGTGAAATGGGACTTATACAGTAATACACCACAAGATCCTGAAGCGTTTCACAAATTTTTAAAAAGATCAAATTATGACTCGCCTTGTTATGTGCAATTTAGTCTAATTCTTTGACGGCTGTCATTCTTTATGGAATGTTGTTAATAATTCAGTGAATTAAAATGAAATGATCTCTTCATCTAATCAGTATTCATTGAGTGCTTACTATGAGCCAGGTAGATGGCAGAATAGGAAGATGGAGAAAACATGGCCACTTCTTCTAAGGAGCTCCTGGTGCCAGTGAGGAAAGCAGACATGTGAGCGCAGAAGTATAATACAGTCGGATATGTCCATAGGAAGACACACAAAGCACTGCGGATACACCAAGAATGGAGATTAACCAGCGCGCCCATCCTTAGTTGACCACTTCTGAAAGCATCACTCGGTCCATGTCCCCCCACCTCACCCCCTGTTGAAGAATGTACATGGACTCGCTATCAACAGCCACATCAAGTCCAAAGCCTTCCATAGTGTTCCTGACCTCAACCCCCTGTGCCCTGTGGGCCTCCTTTCCTGTGATGTCACGTGCATGTGTGCATCTGCACATACACGTGTGGTTTATTGTCACCTATAAACTTGTTTGTGCTCTTCACATCTGGAACACCATCGCTATTCCCTTCTACAGATCCAAATCCTGCTCATCTTTCAAGGCCCGAATGAAATCCCACTGTGGTGACGTGTTACCAGTTGGACTAGTGCCTGTGCATGATTTCACCTCTGAACTCCAATTACACTTACTGCCTTTGAACTTGATTGTTCTTTAAGTAATTCTCTGCATTATTAGTGTTTGCTCCCTAAATTAATTGTAAGCTCTCCCAGATCAGAGGCTTTTTTCCTCAGGATGGGGCAACGTGCCCCTCCCCTCAAAACCCTAGCAAAGTGCTGACCAAGTCCATGGTTGCTTGGTGGGGCGATGCTTACTGTAGAAATGAGTCTCTGCCTTGCAGCCTCTGTTCTCTCTTATCCAGGTTATCAGACCCCCATCACTTCCCTCACTGCTGCAACTTGCCACTTAACCCAGGATGCATTTAATCTGTCTGGGTCCCCAAGGATCACAAGGAACAATTTCTAACTGTTCAGATGAGCAGTGCCAGCTGAGCTTTGGCCCTCGATAGCTGGCCTGTGATTGGGCCACAGCACAGTGCAGGGCTAGTAACGCCCTGCAAAGCTGGGGCTCTGCCAAAATATCCAGCATTTGGAGCCCACCCATTTGACTTCAACCTCGCTTTTCTTTGCCATTTTACAACCGATACCTGATGGCACCTCGGTACCATGTCATGATGGTACTGGCCTCTGGCCATTGGTAAGGCACGGCAAGAGATGTCCTCATACTTTGGCTAGAGAGATAGACCTGAGGAAAGGAAGTGTGTTTGATTGGAAAGGGGTCAGAATAAGCCTCTTAGTGGAGGATGAGGTCAACATATGTGACTTTGTTGTTCTAATCAACAGAGCCTGTTTTGGAGACAAGAGGCTTAAAGCAGAAAGGGATGGGGGTGGGGAACCCACAGTGACCTACTGCAGGCTGCTTCCTTGAAGGAAAACCAGCAGCTTCTCTAGAGACCCGTTAGTACAAAAGAACCCTCCCCTCCCTTCCACCACTACCCCTTCCCTTTCCCACTCCTCTCAAGCTTGGCTGCCACAGTATCCCCTCTGTCCTTCCCTGACTCCACCTAAAGCCGGCCACCCTTGCTGCCCTAGCAGTTGTTGGGACTCGATCCCAGTGCCTTGCTCTCTGGTCAGAGGGAAAGTCCTGCTGGGCCTGGAGGTGAAAGACGACTGCTTCTGGCCTCTTTCCCATCTTATCAGGGAATTTCTGGTGGCACAGACACACGTACACAAAACCACACACAGAGACACACAGCTCAGGCCAGTGATGACGTTCCCCTGCCTGGCTGGTTCTACAGATGGGTGTGACTGGGTCAGAGTACAGGGAGGGTCTGAGTATTTAAATACTGGACTGCCAAGCCCTGGTTGGAAAACAGGGATCATCTCAAAATGAACATTTTGAGAAAGAGAAACATAGCCCCTGACATCTGGAAGCTGGCTGGGACTGTCAGCAAGGCCTTGGTGTTGCTAAAAACTGGCTTAGTACTCCCCACTAGGCTTGGGTGTTGCGTTGAACAGAAACAGATTCACAACACATTAGCCTCATACAAGGCCATCCTGACCATGGTGGATAGAGTCAAAAACAAGACCACTCCATAATCACGTGTGAACACAGGCAAAAATACAAACAGTGCCCAAACCACAGAGATGAGCAAACCCCACCCCCCATTGTGGCTAATCCAAGTGACTGCAGCTTCCTGGCCAATTACAGATGGAGCCTCATTCTAGTCTGCCCTCCTACTCGATACCATTTATTTAATGAGACACTTAGTCGTCAAATTATCCCTGCTTCCTGACAGCATCCAGTCCAGAGCAAAGCCTGGCTTCCTTAAACCCTTCCCCAGATCACCTAGCCTGGCCCAAATCCTATAATAAGTCCTTCCCAGCACTTCTCCATGGTGTGCATTTGCCCTCGCTGCAGTGAGCAATAAACCTGACTTGTCCAGGCACAGAGTGCCCTGGTGGTCTTTGGCTGATGGGCACTGACAGTTTGGAGACAAAGAGCCAAAATACCTTCCAGAGGCCCGCCACCAGGCAGAGACCCCTTTGAGTTTTGCCTAGGCTTGTACTTTATTGAAGACCTTACCAAGTCCCAGTGGAGCCTCCAAGGTCTGTGTCTGAGTTGGAGACGCACAGGAGTCCCATTTGATGTCTGGACAGAGGTGACTGGCTTCCCAGGCCGGGTCCCGACTGTGATGTCTTGATATTTGCAGCACAACACAGAGATGCTTCTGGAGGAGCACCCAACATGGCTGTTGAATTTATAAATACATACACACGTTCATAAATGGTTTTATTGGCCAGCTAGCAAATATACTGTGCAACCACCGTATGCCATGGGCCGATCAGCCCTGGTGATAAGAAGATGAGTAATATTACAGGCCCTGCCCTCGATGGCTTTTTAACCTAGTGGTGACACAGACAAGTCAACAGGAACTACCAGTGCAACAGAAGTGCGGGGAGTACGATGTGTGAGCTCAACTGGAACTTTGGTACTCCTCAGGTTGGTTGCTTTACTGTTATGCTTCAGCCTTGTCCAGGCTTTTCCCTCACTGACCAAACCATGGTCCTTCCTCCATTCTTTGGTTGCACATTCTCTGTCATCACTAAGAACAGAACATGAATATGTTTACTTAACTGCATATGTGTAATACACTGAGACCAGAGAATGCAGCTGATAGTCTCCTTGTCCAAAGAGATCAGTAGCCCCTCTCGCTTCCTTCTCCCCTCCTTCCTCTCCTCCTTGTTTCTCTTCTCCCATGGCTGCTTCTTCAGATTCCAGGAAGTGCTCCCTGCCTGCGTTTCTTCCTCTCAAAGCTGTGGAGCACAGCAGAAAGAGTGCTCTTTGGGATTTGAGTCTCAGTCCGGCCATCCATTCCTGGATGACCCAGAGCAGCTACTTTCCTAGATCTCGGCAGCCTTATCTGTAAAATGACAGCGACAGACTAGATCATCCCTCCACCCTCAGCTCTAACCTCCTGTGTATGGAAAAGTCTCCCGGGTGCTTGCAAGGACTTTCTTCATTTCTCCACGGACTCAGTTGTCTTTCATCTCTAAGGTCTAAAGCAGATGCTAGTGGGACCCAAAGCCCGTAACAAACGTCTCCCCACATTGCCTCTGCTGTCCCTTTGGCTCAACTAGATTTACAGGTCCTTTTTGATTGTTTGTTTTAGTTTGAGGTTTAGGAGTCTTTGACCTAGCAAGTTATATCTAGACCTAGGCCCCTAGAAATTTCTCCTTGCCTGATTTGCTCTCCATGGAGAGTCTGACAGCCTCAAAACTGGGCTCCATGGAAGGTGGCATCCCTTAGTCCCTAAAAAAGACTGGCCTCAAGCCTGGAATTTCCCCAGCAAGGCTTTATGGTGAGACTATTCTCAGCCATGATCCTAGCACATACATTCCTACCCAACTGTTCAGTGTCTCCCAAGCCCCAACAAACACACCCTGCAGAGCTGGCTGGTATATAGCCACCATAACCCAGGCAGCTTTCAACTTGATGCTGAGATAATTAGCTCAGAAAAAGCCCCCTCATTCCATATAAACCTCAAGTTGCGAGACTAGCCTGATACCTGCTTTGCTCTTAGTCCATGGCCATTTCCACACAGGCCATGGCCTTGGCAGAGCCCTGCCCCCAAGTGCAGAGACAAGTGAGCCAGGAAGCTTGCAAGCTTCACCTCCCAGCTCTTACTGTAGAGATGAAGGCAACTGCATACAGGGTGGAAGAGGATGCTTAAGAATCATTGTTCCTCCAGAGGGAAAGGGGAGCTTTAGGTGTTTCAGAGGAGGCCAGTAGAGCCCCTCCAGCTTGAAGCCTTCTATAGCCCGAGCCTGAGACCTTCAGCCACCTTTACTGAGACCAATATCCCAAGCAACCTGAGTGGAATTTTGGTTTCCCACTCCCGTGGGAATCCTCAAACTAATGGCACAGTGTGGGGGCCAGAGTGGCGGTGAAAACAGGGAACCTGTGGCTTCAGAGTCACCCCCACCTCAACCTAGCCTGGACCAGTACCAAATTCTAGGAGGAAGGCCACAGTGACCTCTTCAGTGACTTATCAGTTGGACTTTTAGTAGGAGTCCATGGCAGCTCAAGGCTCAGAGCACTCCACATTTGTCCCCTTGGTGGCGCCAGCCCTTGTCCTGGCCTGCTCATTGGAACAGGAGGCTCCCAAAGACCTCAGCTTCTAAGTGAACACCCGGGCCAGTCCTCAAGTCCCGAGGAGGAGGACGGAAGGAGGTTCCCAGACGCCATCCCCTCCACAGGCACTCACTGTGCGAGGTGGAGACTTGCCAAAGGATACCTCAATGGGAGTTTTACACAAAGTCGCAAACATACAGTTCCCTCCCGGGCGTACCCCGTGCGCCCCAGAACAGCGCGGCGCGGTGGGGCCGGGACCGGCCGCCGAGGTCTCCAGGGAGACTCCCGCCCACCCCTCCCCTCCCCTCCCAGCTGCCCCACCAGGTCCTTCCCCGGGAATCCGAAGCCACTCCTACCCACCTGCTGGGGCTCGAGGAAGTGGGGGCAGGAAAGAAGGGATTGAGGGGAAGTTTCGAGGGGTGTGCCGGAGACGGGGAGGATTCTCATGAGTCAGCAGATCGGGCTCAGTGTGGCTTCACCGCTTCCCGAGAAGAGGCGCTCGCGGCAGGAGGCCGCTCCGCGTGCAGCAGCAGGAGTAGAAGGTCAGAG